AGTTCCTACACGACGCATAAAAGTCGCGGGCAAGACGCGTGGCCGAGCATTACTTTCACTGAATTCTCGCTCGCTCCGATTTGCCCCTGTGTTTTTCTTTCCGCCCGGAGCTTCAATTTCTAATTAACCCCATCAATGAAATCAGCTATCCATCGACCCATGTACCGTTCTGAAATCAATCTTCTTAATCAAATAAAATGAATAAACTTTAATTGGATGATAGCTACGTTCGGTTCTCTCAATAGAAAATTCAATTCTTCTGAACATAAAGTGGCTCTGACTGGAAGGCCAAAAACTGTGCTTACACCTGCTGGCGAATGTTTCATTAAATAATGATTTCAAGATAATCCAGATTGCGGGTAGCTAATTTACTGTTTGCCTTACTGGTTCGCGTTTTAATCTCAATTACCGTCCCGCTGTTTCGTAGCGTGCTGCGTGCAACCAAGTAGGTATCCACCGACAACCATCCACGGAAGCGCGCAGGCCATCGACTTCGCCCGTTTAGCTTTCATCCGCTCGGCTCGCGACTCACCTTTTCGTTCTCTTTAACGTTTTCGCGATCCGCCGGTGAAATCCGCCGGTTAATTGATTATCGGAACGGTGCACGTGTTACGCTTACGCGCTCTCCCGTTTTATTTGCGCAAAGGACCCCTGCCGATCGATCGATCGTTGTCAATTAATTCCCGAGGATCAAATATTTGCCAGCTCCGTACACTTCCGATTAACACATTTGTCATTTTATTAAGTAATTAACTGGTTTGGTTCCTACAATATAGCTCTCCTTACAATTTAAAGTGCAGATGTAATCATACATGGTTGAAAGAAGTTAAGGAAGTTGCCTTGGATTGATGTAGGAACGTAAGACAGTTTTCTTGTAGATTCAGAATACAGTTTAGATTTCGACCAGAAATAAAAGACAAGTCAACGATTGAAAAAAACAATGATTGATATAGAATTTTAGCAGTAGATTAATTCATATGTTTAAAAGGATATTTTACGTCTTTCAGACTACTTTTTCCTGGCTCTGGGTCGAATCGGTCTGGCGAGATGTCCATAACAAGATGTTAAATCCGCGATACTGGTAGCGTTTAATGCGTCGCCTGGTGTGAACGCGGCCAATAAAGCCGATTCCTTTCTCTCTTTGAGCAGTATCTGGCGTGGTCGGCGACCACATCCCGAAGTGATCTAGTTTTGGTCTTCCACCGGCTGCTGTCCGCTCGAAGATCGAAAGTTCCGATGGACGCAACCGGCAGCTCCTTTTCCCGCAAATTTCTCGTCTCTTTCCATTCCTGCTCCTCTCGCTTCCCTCGTTAAATTTTACTCGTAGATCTCCTTTCCCTTTTCGAATAAAATCGTTGGATGATCTCGTTAAATTTAAGTTATGCTTTAACGGAAGGAAAGCTGAATCCATTGCCAATTTCTTGCTGACCGTTAATAGAAAATCAGTTTCAGGTATACGCGTCCGAGAACGAGCTTACAATTAGAACCGATCTGCTTTTATCGGTACTTCTATATTTAGAAAACGGGAACAAGGTTTTCATCCTCATGTATCCTGGTACCGACACATTCCATCTGTTGATAGGATCAACTAGCATAATAATAGCAATGTAATTCGCATTGGTAATATTAATGCTTTTAGGAAATGCTGGTAGAATTCTGGAATCGGCAAAGTTATAAACTCGACCTGGCCAATGATATGTTCCAATACTTTAAAATTTTTGGCATGAAATCTTGTATTCTAAATAGACTAAGAGCAAAACATCAGAACTGGACAATGCATGTTGGTCTATTATTTAATTGTCCATCAACGATGTACTGCTCTAACGGCGAGTCGACACGAGCAGGGATCGAGGATCCAGTTGCTAGAGATGGGAGCGAGTCTGAATTGAGCATTAATATAATCTACACTTCAGTCGTCAGCTATCAATATTCATATTTAACCAGAAACTCGTCTCTATTACACAATCCTTCGTTTCCTTAATGTTCTATTTCTAAGGCTCTTTACTATACGTAACTCTACTTCAGAAAAATATTTAAAATATTACAATTGTTATTAGCCAGGTACTTAACGAACGATTCTTCTTCATTAAGCTTCATAGAAATTCTACCAGTTGCTTTCCCAAGTCTTTAGAAAGGCAGAGGCATTAACGGTGGCGCGATTCGCAACGCTTTGGACACGATCCGCGTAGATCGGTCGGCTCGATCCCATCTCTATCGGGATAGCGCGTGCACGGCACAGGCTGCTAGCTGGAATACGGTACACGGTGTACGGTATACGTTATACGTTACACAGATTGTGGGCGGGGTGGTCCAGAGAAAGCCCTCGAGAAGGCTCGCGTGGACCGCTCGCTCGGCTTTGCACGCTCGCGTTTGCGTTTGCACGGCCACCACGGAATAATATATACTCCTGTCCATAAGTTAGACAGTCATCACGACAAACTCGTTGATATTCCCATAAATTTGTACGAAACTGTAAATCAGGAAAGCTATACTATTTAAAATATCACCCCTTTAGGAATTTTAATAAAAGGATTAAATAATTGCTTATCTTATGTAATTCTAAAACCTAATTGCCCTAAAAGAATTATTGGGAAAAATGCAGGCATTTAATTTTGCTGTTTAAATCGACAGGAATTCTCATTCTGAGATTGAATTATGCAATTCACTGTCTAATAATTCGTCTATCTACGTAAGAATAAAATTAGCACAGCTTGTTTTAGTGAATTCGTTAAAATAAAAATTATTTATCACAAATTCAATTTGTCTTAAGTCTGCTGTTTTTACATCTTACACTGTGCGTGACTTATGAGCGGGAGTGTAGATACACGAACCGCGCGCGTGTTCGTGCCACCGCGAGGCGTGTGCCGTTTTTTATTTTACAGCCCCCTCGCTCCGGCTGGCCATTCGGCCGCTTACCACTGAGGAAAGAGCAGAGCTATTCTCCAATACACGAGGATAACGTCGCAACAGCGACCACTTAAATGTCATTATGCTTACGCTTACGACACGGAACTTCAACCCTTTGTAAAGAATTTGAAATACGGAATTACAAGATTATGTAAGGGTATTTCATTGTATGAGTAATGTTCCGTTCGACATTTTGCCGCGTTGCCAAAGATACACGATAACGTTTGTCTGATGCATTATCAGTCAAACGTGATTCGAGAGAATATGTTTCACATTCAAAAGGCATAAATAATGCCAACAGACAGAAGATAGGATATTGATTTCCGAGTAACTTACAAATAGAGAACTCGCAGAAAAATATATATTCAATGCTGAGAATCTAAAACGTTCATGCTGGCATATCAATCTGATCGAAAATTTCGCGATTAAACGATAGGTGAATGTGGAAGCCGGTCACTACGGAAAAGTGGAGATCATCCGGTCGATCTAGTTTCCTCGACTCGCGTCCAGCGCGATGAAAGCGAAGAGACTCTCTCGTTTGACCGTGGAAGGATTGGCTTGATACTGGATACGTCGCCGTCCTCGAAAGTAATATCGAAAGTGAAGCTGCTGAAGAGTAATAAAAACTGTTCTCCGATCATCTATTTCCATGCCACTGAGAGACGATTGGCAACGATGAAATCGAGAGTCTGTCTGCATTTCAATTAAAAATCCCGTTGCCGATTGGCAGCGCTAATTCAAGTGTTTCATCGTTCCCGTAGAAACTTGGAGAGAAATTTAAAGGAATGTCAATCACAACACAGGCGCAGCATCGAATTCAAAACGATAGTCCGATGAAATAAGCAGTCGTTCCAGTCATTAAACGACTAAAACGCGTAATCGTCACGATATCTTTTAAGTTATTACATTGATTAGAATACGATCTGCGCTAAACAGAATTTCTTTTGGTCCTCAAACGCGAGTAATGGAATCAATTTCTGTACGCAAACGGATGTAGTTCCGCATATAGTCGAGTGAGCAGTCACATTTTCCGCAAACGTACCCCGTTCTTTGCTCAACCTCGTTCCGTCACTTGGAAAGTGAAAAGCGCGTTCGTGAAAATCCCTGTCGGCCATCTCTCCCCTCTCTTCCCCTCGAAGCCTCTCGGATGATTCCTCAAACGTTACAAATTAACCTTTCTAATAATGTCCGCAGGGAGAGAAGGTGTTTCCTACTTAAATAGGAACATGTTTACTATTTTCTGACATCTTACTTTATGAACTGAGATGTTTAATGTATGACCATGGAAGTACTCGACTCTCCGGAAAAAACCGATTTATTAAGTTAATTTATATTTTCTCTAGGAAAATGTTATTTATCTAGTCAAGTGATTTGTTCAATGCAATAATCCGATTTCTCTTTCAATTTTTCAATCGTCCAACTTTCAGAATTTCTGTACTTGATTCTATTACCGTTATCATTGTGAGCCTGTTTTTGTAAGGTCTTTTAGGAAGGACACGGATTCTGTCTAAATCTAACCACGTGTGCACGAGGCTTAAGATAGTATGTATTAGCGTTCTATGCTCGCGTGGCGGGCGGCAGTCGCGACCCACATCCCGGAGATAAAGTGCTTCGAGAGTCCGCTCCCCAGCTGCAGCGGTTCTCATCGCGACCCCGCCTATCAACCGACCCCTCTTATCATTACGTTATCAGCGATCACGTTGAACGGTGCAACGGCGAATCGTTCGGTTCGTGCGTCGCGTCGGAGCCTAGATAAATGTGAAACGTGATCCGTATATTAGTCTCCAGTAGAGAATCAAGACATTACGATAGGAATGACTATATCCACGTAAGGAGAGGAATTGCCTTGCTCTATCCATCAAAATAACAGGTTGCAGATTTTTAAGAAGAAGAAATAAAAATAGACGAGGTATATCAGTAATAGAGGGGATTCAAACACATTTTTAAATTGATATAATAGTCTAGTATCATTGATAGGAGCTTCTATCTCGTAAAGATTTTCAGATTCGAGTGCAACCTTGATAAGTGAGATTCGTCAATAGTAATCGCGAGAGTAAGTAGGAGCGGAGCGACGCTGCGCGCGCGAGGTCCGCTCCCCACATTTTTGAAGACGTCGGCCAACGCCGAGCGGAGCGAGCAGACCGCCCATACGTCCGCTCGCATTCTCCCGCGCGCTCGCGCGCACGCACGCCACGGCTAGACAAGCTCGAGGAAGCGGAGGTGGTGAAGGTGGCGTAGAATCTCTGGGTCGTGTGCGTGCCGCGAGAGAAAGAGAGAAAACGCTTCTGGAAGTCGGTGGTAGTCGCTATCGGTGCATCTACGCCTCGGATTACGCCTCGGTTTCTCAACGTTCACCTCCTCTCTTCCTCCTCCGCCTCTTTCACCACCGACCAGCCACCTCCATTATACTTTTCGTTCCATCGAACGTGTCCCCGCGCGTTTTTCGATCCTCGCGCCGCGCCGCCGTTACCGATACTCGTTTCGCGCAAACGCGAGGAACGTGCCCGTCGCGAGCGGACAGCTTCCGGAAGGCTCGCGCGAGCGATCCAGCCCACCTCGGCACGGTTCGAGTGATTTATCTCGCGAAATTTCAACCGGACTCGGCTCGCTCGCCAAGCATTCCGGATAGATTCGCGTAATCGTGAGCGAAAGCTTGTAATTAATGGACCTGCTGCTCTTAATTTTATATCGCGCGCCGCTTTTCCTTCGGACCATCACCACTCGTGCATGCATACACCTAGAAACGTTTTCTAGCCTGTCAAGACGATCTCCGAAACGCGAGTTCTCCATAGAACTTTTGACTCTGATGCTCAAGTCCACGGTGGTCCCACGGTCCATCGGAACGCGATCCGAGCGCGAGTTCCATTACTTTCTCCTCTTTTTATTTCAATCGCATCGCCTCTGTTCCATCTGGTGAGTAGTAGCCGCTTTTTGCCACGTTCCCTAGATCTATTCGCTCTTTTTCGGCGCGCCGCGCCTCAATTTCAAACGCCTACTTCGCAGAACAGCCGGCAAGAGTATCCGCGGCGAACGCTTCCGGATCTGACCGGAAGGATCAAACTTTCTGCGGTTTTGCGTACTAATGCATATTAGCTTTCATCATGGTTTCCAGTCAATCGATATCTTGATTTTTCGATCGACCGTCCATCCGCTTCCGGTTCCCACTATAAAGATGCTCACTGTGAACGATGTTTGAATGATAGCAAAGATACGACTTGGCTGAGCGATTCAATTGCAGACATGATATTATGTACTGAAAACGTACGATACGAATTATTGAATAAAATATATGAACGAGTTAAACGCGTTTAATTTATTTCATTCCCTAACCACAATTTCATATCGCTAATTAAAATTATCAGTAGAAAGTGAGTTGCAAGTTTGTTCCTCATTGACAGGATGTGAAGCAACCTAGGACCAAACTGAACTGCTTTAAGTGGATCGTTGGTAGCAATTGAAGCTGACCAGGTGAATTTCTCGTGCGTCTAACAGTCGAATAATATAGGCCGCTTTCTACGAAACCTTTCGATTCCCTCCCGATGCACCACGTGGTCCGAAATGGTAACGAGAAGACGCGTTCCCGGAAACATTTCACGACATTAGATAATTGCGTCCACTCTGTACGTTTCATTGTTCCGTAATCGAGAGAAAAAACTATCCGCCGAGTTCCTCTTCCTTCTGCCGGGAACCACCGCGATTGGGATCATAAAAGCGATAGTGGAGAAACTGCAGGAAAGAATTAACAGAGAGAAACACGGTTTCGCGCGAGCAACTATGTTGCCGGAGTAAAAAATAAGATGGAAGTAGCGAACGTAATCGCAGCAGGTTTCAACCGAGCGCTTCAATTAGTACCATTAATCGGACTTTACCTATTACCGCGAGCAAGATTCTACTGACGCTGACTATAAATCAATCTGCTTTGTATCTCGCAACACTGTTAGTCTAGTTAATCTCGTTAATGTCCAGTTAATTTAATGTCCATTTCAACCCCCATGCTTCTTTTAACAAAGTACATACTATTTTACTCATTTTTCAATTTGCATATGTCAAATTTTTACAATTGACGATGGCTTTGGTTACCATGAGAATCTCGTAGCGATTTTCAAGTTGGTATTCTTGGCTGATTACCGGATGCTTTGCCAACTCCGCACGCGTTACCAGCGTCATTACGTCCGTTTTATTATCTCGCTAACTTTACGATCCGCCTGGCCTTTTCCTTAATGCCGCGCCAATTTGGACCTTCCCGTCTTGCAACGGTGGAGAACCGTAAAGAAAAATTTCGTAGGTGGTCTACGCTGTAATCTGTTTGAAATTGCTACATTACTCAAGATTTACTTATATTTATATTCTAGAGTTTATTAAATTTGATATTCCATGTACATCCAAAATGAGGAAAGATTGCCGGTATGCCAATGATCTACTAATATAATAATGTAATTTAATAGTATTGGACGTATTCTGTAGGGGGTATTGAACGATCCTCTGTGGCTCGAGGACAGTGTTGTGACGGAGGGAAAACCGAGGAGAGAAACGAGATTTCGCAAGCTGCGGTTCATGGAATATGAAAAAGCGAGCCGCGGAAGCTCACGAAGTCGCCAGACTCGTGCCATAGATCAGAGACTTCCTCGATCACCTTACGATCCCTCGATCTCCTCTTGCTCTCGGTAGTTACGAGAAGCGCCCTTAAGGATCCTTCACATCATTTTTCTCATTCTATTTATTTCCACGAAACAAGAGGGACACTTTCCTTGGCATTTTTACATGTCAACATTCTTTTGCTAAGCATCACAAACGTAAGTTTAAAATGGGAATCGACATTGATTAGGTTGTTTTTGTTCGAGATTGATTACCATAGTTGTGAAGAGAGCTTAAGATCGAGGGAAACGATTCGATCGACAAGCCGGATCGGTGATCCAGTTGAGGCTTCAACCAGGCGCGCACTCCCATATTAGTCGCGCGACCGGTCTAGGCGTACACGCTTTGAGCGACATTCTTACGTATACGACAGAAGCCAGTCAGCGAGAGAGCCACGGTGCACGGAAGACGGACAGAATTAGCCACTATCTATTTCGCCTCGACTCGGTCGCTCGCATTGTAAATTAATTAGCCGCTATTTACGCGTCATTCATCAGCCGGACTTGTTCTTCGATGGAAGAAGAAGAAACTTGAATTGAACTAGAAAGAATAACGTGTCGCGAATTAATTGATCGGTGTGTTTATATCTCATTCATCATCGCGACTGATCTGCCGCTTTAGAAAAAAAAGTCACGAACAAGGAGGAATATTCATTTCCACTTAAATTAATTGACCGCTGTTTATGCTTCAAGTCAATTAACATCATCGACTGTCCTTCAAAATAAATAACTGTAATGTGAAAGTAACGTAACGTGTATGAAATACTGTACAAGCAAACCATAAAATCGTGTTCTTCAATCATATCACTAATGTTCTTTAAAATTGAAGGACGAGAATCACAAATAAGTGAAACAATGAGATATGAGATTGGTATATACAGGCGGCAATTTGCCACGTAAACGCCCTTGCAACGGACGACCCTATTATTACGAGGGTCGGATGAGTTCCACGCGGGGAGCAGATCTGTTATGATTTCGTCAATGAATTATTATTAATTACGCAATCCCGTTTATTTTCGTGGCAGTCAGCCTCCGACTGACTCACTTTCTCCCGTGCGATAATTAAGGACCGCGATCGCCGCCCTGATAACTGCCCTCCTATAATTATAAGAAACGGATGCATCAACAGTCCTTCTTAGTCTCTTTAATCCTGCCCGAAACCGTGATGAAAAAGTTGCAAAATTGTCAGACGCGCGTATACCAAGGAAAAAATAATAAAATTCCGTATAGGATAGCATTTACTATCTGAGGATTGTGAAACAATTGAAAAACGAATATCAATTAATCTACGATGTTGAGTAAAAAATGTGGAATAATGGTGCGCAGCTGGAGGGTTGAAAAATGTCTAGCAGTGAGTCAGAAAGCATATTGCACGTTCGCATTCCTCTTCCCGCTCTTATCTGTACCGCGATTATTATACCGACGGTGGCAGCTTGAACGCAACGCAGTGCCAATAACGGTACTTCATCCACTGGCGAGTGCACAGTGACTCACTTGCTGGTAATCCTTTCGACGGCGCGAATCGCGTTGACGCAACTTCGATGAATGTATTTTTATGACAAAGATATTAATTTGCCAAAAATCATGCGTGTACGTCGCACCTTTTAAATCTTCGCGGGGAAAAATCGATGCAAGGTGGATTGAATATCAATCAAAGTCGACGCGACATCCTTCTTCTCTTTTTATGGATGACCATTATAATTATTGAACCATGTCCGTGACGTCCTGCCGCGGAGGGAGACAATTATTGCGTTTCACGGTTATCATTGCTCCCAGCCACGTGCAGCGATCGGTGAAATTAAGAGAAGACTTATTGTGGGTTTGTGCAACGGGTCATCGATCGACGGCTCGCCCCGATCAAACGCGACTGGGCGCTCTTCTTCTCCCGGCGAGATCGTGACCCCTTTCGAAACCCCACTGTTCGAGGTATTCGCGTACACCCGACTTTAATTCGGCGGCTCGTGTGTTCATTTGTTTATTTGCCGATGTGACGGCATCCCGCGCGATCCGCGATGAAAAGAGACCATGCATCTCTTGCGGGTCAAAAGTTTCACCTTAATCGTCGATCCTTTTACGTTGGATCATCGCGGGTTCGGAGCAAAATCCATCATCGTCTTCGCCGCAGCTTTCTTTTTCCCTTGCCTCCCTTCGTCGGTCACTTCGTTGCGAAACAAGATGGAAGACGTCTGTTTAATCACTCGCGAAACATTCGTTGAAAGAAACTCTGACAAAGAGATATCTCCCACCATTTTTGTTATTATAAAATTCAGCTTTGGATCGATGCGTCCACGACCGCAAATCTGATTGCGCAAATCGATGGAACCGCAGGGGTAAAGAGACGCGAAGACTGGTGGTCCAGAGGCACGAAGTCGTAACGAGAAAATGATCGGTCGATAATGCGAGCCGACGTGCCGGCAGGGGAACACGATTGTTTTGATCGGACGCATCCTGACCCAGGGGAACGAGTCGCAGGTTCTGTCTCGCAAACCTATGGGTGGATCGTTGGCGTCGATTATTCGAAACTGGTTTCCAGGCTATAAACGATCCGTGTTGTTCACATGTCGTTCGTGCCCCCTTTGTCATGTTCAATTATTTCAGAATATCGTTTTACGATTATTATTCATTTAACCCATATCTGTCTTCTCGAAGAACAATAAAGAATTAGGTCATAAATCGTGTTGTATTTACCATTAAATGATAGAACATTAAAAATTCTTCATAGAACTTCATATAAACTTTTCTTTATATAATATAAAATTGATGAAATTGAATATGCAACAAGAAGTTTAGGATCCAGGAAGGAGACGATTGTAGCCTCGTTAGCATATTGCTAGGACGGTGACAGGAGTTGTTGGATGGACATCCCGGCGAGGAATGTTGAGGAAGGACACGGCCGACACAGCTGCGATCCACGGACCCGGAAAGAGAGCCTCCTCCCATGTTTAACCATAGAAATTTATGGCGGTTCGATGAAGCCGTGGGCCGCGACGATACCCGAGCTGCCAGTTCACAAATCAGCCCGCCCATTGTCGCCCAGGTCTCTCGCTCTTCCACCTCGTCCTTTTTTTCCCATCCGCGCTCACGCTTCGTCCTTTCCGCCTTCGCTTTCGTTCGACTAGATGTGTTCTCTCCAATACTTCGAACCGTTATCAAACTTTTACTAGTTTGCAATAGGACTTTTGCAATCCTTCCATTAAATGAAAAAATTGCAATTGTATTATCAGTCCGAAATCTTATCTCGATTTTTATTCTAGCTTTCTATTTACGACCGCTACAATTCTATGTTTATAAATATTTGAAGTATTCCAGTTTAAGAACAGTTTTCGAGGAATCTCAGTATAATTTTTTTCGACCAAATCAGTGAGATAAACGTAACCTGAACCGCTACCGATTACGATCCACGGTAAAACATTGAAAGTAATAAAACGGTATTTAAAAGGTGCAGTAGTAACAGGAAACTATAAAACCGTCTCGCGTTCCGGTAATAAGGCAAAATCGGTAGTGAAGCCGAAAGATCTATACGGTGTGGCGACGAGACGAGGCAATTTTAATCGTAGACGTGGTGCAACGTGTCCCGCTTTTTTCCCATTCCACCCCGGCGTGCACTTTAGCAACGCGAAGAGAGCCGCTATCTGCTTTTATTCACGGTTGAATGGTCCCGGGTGAAAA